GGGCCGCCGTTCCAGATGGGGGGATTCGTCTTCCCGGGGGTGTTTGGGGTGTAAAACATCCTCCTGCCCGCAGGACGCCAGGGGAGAGGCGGAGGGACCCCGGGATGCGCCGGCTCCCACCGGGATAGGAACGTCCCCGGGCTGATGGAAGCGCCGGGATCGGGCAGGGATCGTCCAGCTCCAGGAATTCCCGTGTCCCGCGGCTGCCGGAGCTGGTCCTGCCCCTGCTGTGCCCGGCCTCGGCTTTCCCACCTGGATCAGAGCCTCTCCCTTCATTCCCACACGGATCGGAACCTGCCTCTCCTTTCCACACCCGGATCAGAAGCTCCCTCCTCGTTCCCAGCTGGATAAAAGCCTCCATTTCCTTCCCCACCTGGATCAGAGCCTCCCTTTTCCTTCCCTCCTGGGTCAGACCCTCCATCTCCTTTCCACACCGGGATCAGGAGCTCCCTCCTTGTTCCCACCTGGATCAGAGGCTCCCTCCTCATTCCCACCGGGATCAGAAGCTCCCTCCTCATTCCCACCGGGATCAGAAGCTCCCTCCTCATTCCCAGCTGGATCAGAGGCTCCCTCCTCATTCCCAGCTGGATAAAAGCCTCCATTCTCCTTTCCACACCTGGATCAGACCTCCCTCCTCATTCCCAGCTGGATCAGAGCCTCCCTCCTGTCCCTGGAAGCGAATCCAAGGTGGATTCTCCGGGGATCCCGGGCCGTGAGCCGGAGGGAGGTGCCGAGCTGCTCCTGGGGAAGCTGGAAACACGGAGCATGATGGAATCCCGGATCAAACGTGAGCAGGGGGACCCCTTCTCCCCTTTTCCCCCTCCTCCTCCGGCCTGGCTTTTCCTTGGGAATGGGAATTATTGCTGGATAATGAGGTTAAACAGCCGGGGGGGGCGGGAGGAGGGAGAGCTGCTCCCGGCACGGTAATTCCATGCCCTGGAAATTAATCCCAGGCCTTGTCCCTGCTGCAGATGCAGGAGCTTAGGGAGTCCCTGCGTGCTGGAAGCGGTGCCAGTTCCTCCAGGAATCCCGGGAATGAGTCCCTGTCCTGCTTGGTTGATGTTTTTTGGGGGAATGAGGACATTCCCGGTGTGGGGAATCCATGGGAAGGGGCGGGAACAGGGATTAGGGGGAACAGCAGCTTCGATGTGGCCCAAGGGCTTCGGGAGCTTGGGAAAGGGGGGAAAAACAAAATACAGGGTCTTTTGGGGAAAAAAAAAACAACAAAAAGTGGGGATGAAAATCCCTAAAGTGGGAGGTGTTTGGGGGAAAAAATATTCCAAAAATGGAGGGGTTTTTTGGGGGAAAAAAATCCCAGAAGTGGGGAGGAAAATCCATAAAGTGGGAGGTGTTTTGGGAAAAAATTATCCTGAAAATAGAGGGTTTTTTGGGGAGGAAAAAATCCCAGAAGTGGGGAGGAAAATCCGTGAAGTGGGAAGTGTCTTGGAGAAAAAAAACCTCTCAAAAATAGAGGGTGTTTTTGGGGAAAAAAAATCCCCAAAATGGGAAAAAAAGTCCTCAAAGTTGGGGGTCTTTTGGGGAAAAAAAATAATTTCTAAGGTGGGGGGTGTTTTGAGAAAATTATCCCCAAAGTGGGGAAAAAAAAAAAAAAACCAACAACAGAGTGAGGGGATTTTTGGGAAAAAAATAAACCCCAAAAGTTGGAGGGTCTTCTGGGAAAAAAAAAAAAATCCTGAAAAGCAGGGGGGATGTTTTTTTAGGGGAAAAAAAAAATGGCCAAAGCTGTGGGACTTTGGGGGGGTAAAAAAATCCCCAAATTAGGGGTTCTTTGGAAAAACTCGCAAAGTGAGGGGTCCTTTAGGGGGGGGGAGGGAAATCCCAAAAATGGGGGTTCTTTTGGGAACCCCCCCAAAGAGCCCCTGTGGAAGGGGAAGGGCTGGGATCAGGGTTTAAATTGAGTTATCCCTGAGAAACAGTTTGGATGAGCCCCTTTGGAATGGGAAGGGCTGGGATCAGGGTTTAAACTGAGTTATCCCTGATGGTGGACCCAGAGAAATGGTTTGGATGAGCCCCTGTGGAAGGGGAAGGGCTGGGATCAGGGTTTAAATTGAGTTATCCCTGATGGTGGACCCAGAGAAATGGTTTGGATGAGCCCCTGTGGAACGGGAAGGGCTGGGATCAGGGGGTTTGAGTTGAGTTATCCCAGAAAAACGCTTTGGAAGGGGGTTTAGGCTGCAAGGCCCCCCCCCAGTTCCAGTGGGGATGTGCCTGGGAACCCCTGGAAGCTCCCAGTGCCTGCCCAGGCAATTCCAGAGGCTCCCTGTGCCCACGCAGGGCTGGCCACGACGCTGATGGACGCCACGACGGACAAGGAGCCGCTGGTGCAGGAGCAGATCTACGAGGCCCTGTGCGTGCTGGGCGAGGCCGAGCCCGAGGAGATCCTGCACTCCTGCGACGAGTACCTCCGGCAGCACGACAAGGTGGGCATTCCTGGGACTTCCTGGGGGCCTGGGAAGCGCCTCCTCGAGGTCTGGGGGTGCTGTGAGTGGGGAGGACGTTGGGGGTTGGAGTTCCCCCCTTCCCGGTTTTCCAGGTGCAGTTTTTCCCCTCCCCTCGCTCCGGTTTCGGGGGCTCTCTGAGCTTCCCGAGGGTTTTGTCGCCCCAGGGTTTGAATCCTCTGGGATTTCTGCTTCCCTTCCCGGGTTTTTGCTTTTCTGTGTTTCTTTCCTTGAATCCTGTGCTGGGGGGGATTCCTTTGACCTCGTTCAGCCTGGAGATTGTGGAATTACGGAATGGTTTGGGAGGGGGAAAAATCCCTCCGAGCCCACCAGCTCCACCCAGCCCTGCCCGTGTCCCCAAGTGCCACCTCCCCAGGGATGGCCAATAATCCCCCCCAGGGATGGGGATCCAGGGCTGGGCAGCCCCTTCCCAGCAGGGGTTTTCCCAAATATCCCAAATAAAGCTCCCCTGGCACAACTTGGGGCCGTTTCCCTCATCCTGTCCCTGTTCCCTGGGAGCAGAGCCCGATCCCCCCCGCTGTCACCTCCTGTCCCCCTGCAATTCCCCCTGAAGGCTGAGCCCCCCCAGCTCCCTCAGGAGTTCTCCAGACCCTTTCCCAGCTCCATTCCCATCCCTGGACACGCTCCAGCCCCTCCATGTCCTGCACTGGGGACCCCAAACCTGCCCCAGGGTTGGAGGTGTCCCAGCAGTGCCAGCACAGGGGGTGATCCCCCCCTGACAATCCCCCCCCGTGTCCCAGCTGGCCTATCCCCACCGGGTGATCATCCTGAAGGCCATGGAGACGGTGGTGAGGAACAACATCGACCTGCTGGACAAGAGCACGGCCAAGGTGGTGATTTTCCTGGCCTCCAGCGAAATGACCAAGTCCAAGGTGCGGCCCTGGGCTCTCCCACGGGGGATTCTCCTCAGGAGGGAAGGGCTGGGCTCTCCCACGGGGGATTCTCCTCAGGATTCCTGGGAGGGAAGGGCTGGGCTCTCCCACGGGGGATTCTCCTCAGGAGGGAAGGGCTGGGCTCTCCCATGGGGGTTTTTCCACAGGATTCCTGGGAGGGAAGGGCTGGCAGCTCCAGCCTTTGGGGTTTGCAGGGATGGGCCGAGCTCCTCCGGGCAGGGAGGGAGGGTTGGGTGGAGATTCTGTTCCTTGTGGAGCTCTGGGAAGGTGGGAGGGACACGGGTGGGTGACGGGAGTGGGAAGGGGGAGAGCTTTGGGAAGCTGCAGATCCCTGTGGGGATGAGGGCAGGGCTGAGCCTGGAGCCTGTTGGAGTGAGACCATGGGGATGATCCGAGCCTGGAGCCGGGCTGGGAGAGCTGGGAATGTTCCCCTGGAGAAGGGAAGGATCCAGGGAGACCTTGGAGAACCTTGCAGGGCCTGAAGGGGCTCCAGGAGAGCTGGAGAGGGATTTGGGATGAGGGCTGGAGGGACAGCACCCAGGGAATGGCTGCCCAGGGTTAGGGGGGAGATTGGGAAGGGATTCCT